CCTGCGAGCCGCTGAACCGAGCTGTTTACGTCGGTGACCCGGTCCACCGCTGTTGGACCTGCGAGCCGCTGAACCGAGCAGTTTACGGAGGAGACCCGGTCCGCCGCTGTTGGGCCTGCGAGCCGCTGAACCGAGCTGTTTACGGAGGAGACCAGGTCCGCCGCTGTTGGACCTGTGAGCCGCGGAAACCGAGGAAGCTAAACTACAGCTTTGGGATTTGGGAGCTGTTGCAACCGGGACCTAGTCTGTCACCATTGGGGCTGCGAACTGCTGGACCGAGTGAATCGTGGGATCGCGTGGGACCTGGAGGTTGTTGCCGCTAGTCCTCGGCTAGACCTGGCTAGGCCTCGGCTAACAACATAAGCTAACATCATAAGCCTGTGAACCTCGTGGCTAACAACAATAGCCTGAGAACCTCGTGGCTGGATCCTGTGCTTCTGAGAGTTGAGACCAATAATCCAGAAGTATCGTGAGTAATGCCGAGCAAACACAGAGATAAGAGACAAGTGTCAGAAAATAATTCTGAAGATATGGAGGAAGTTAAAAAATCTTTGAACTATTTGAGTGCTGAACTGACTAAAGTATCAGCTAAATGTGATTTACTAACAGGACTGTTTGAAGAAGTGAGAAATTTGAAAGAACTGATGACTAATAAAGACAGAAAAATAGCTGAACTGGAACAAAAAGTAGAAGACTTGGAACAATACACAAGACTAGACAACTTGGTGATCACTGGACTGGAAGTTAGGAACCGAACTTATGCAAGAGTTGTTGCTGGTACTAACACAGCAGAAGACGCACCACAGGAAGAACTACAGACTCTGGAGGAGCAAGTAGTGAATTTTTTACAAAACAAAGACATTGACATCGAACATGAGGACATGTCAATCTGTCACACACTACCCAACAAATCAGATAAAGCCAAACCATCCATAGTCATCAAGTTCATTAGCAGGAAATCAAGAAACAATGTGATAATGCAAGCAAAAAAACTGAAGGGAACAAATGTTTACATAAACTAACACCTAACTAAAAAAAATGGAAATATTGCACGTGAAGCAAGGTGGTTGAAAAAACAGAAAAAAATTGTGTTTTAATAAAAGCATTTTTTTCTGTGGAGATTTTAATATTGACCTGGGAATTAAAACAGATTCAAATAACATCAGTACATTTACAAATTCATTGTGTAGTTTAAATCTTTATCCGTTAATATCAAAACCAACAAGAATTACAACTCATAGTGCTACAATAATCGATAATATTTTCACAAATGTAACAAATGGGGATGGGATGGGAGGTATTTTAATGAGTGATTTGAGTGATCATTTACCAGTTTTCATGATTTATAAAAATGATCAAAGCATTACAAAAGAAATCACAATTAAGAAAAAACAATAAACACATCAAAAAAAGCAATGGACAAATTAAAAGATGATTTACATAAACAAAGCTGGAAAGACGTGTATGTTGATGATGTGAACAGATCATATGATGAGTTTATGAATATTTTAGGAGCTCTGTATGAAAAGAATTGTGTGCAAAATAATTGTACAAAGAGAAATGTTGTTGACCAACCATGGATGATGAAAGGGTTGAGAAATGCTTGTAAAAAAAAGAATTATTTATATACATGTTTCTTGAAACTGAGAACACAAGAGGCTGAAGAGAAATATAAGAAGTATAAAAATAAATTAGTAGCGATTATAAGGAAACACAAGAAGGAATATTATAGTGATTTATTAAATAAAAGTAATGGTGATATGAAAGCTACATGGCGTGTAATAAATAGTGTTCTGAAAAGTCATAAAGCAAAAACAGGTATTTCACAATATTTTTTGAAGGATGACGATGAAATCCATGATGAAAATGAAATTGTAAATGGATTTAATCATCATTTTGTGAACGTTGGATCAAGACTTGCAGCTAAAATACCAAAAGTAGACAATAATGTGAACCATTCAGTTATAAGTTGTGACAACAGTATTTTTCTTAATGGAACTGACAAAGAAGAAATAATGAATGTTGTAAAAAATCTTACAGATAAGAGATCAAAAGACTGGGTGGACATGGATATGATGTTTGTAAAGGACATAATGAGTTATGTTATCGAGCCGTTTACATATATTTGTAATTTATCATTTTCAAAAGGAATATTTCCAGACAATATGAAAGTAGCAAAGGTAGTTCCTCTCTTTAAAAATGGTGATAAATGTGTGTTCAATAATTATAGACCAATATCCTTATTACCACAGTTCTCAAAAATTCTAGAAAAACTGTTTGTGACCAGATTAGATAAATTTATTACTAAACAAAACATTCTAAGTAACAGTCAGTATGGGTTTAGAGCAAAAAACTCTACATCAATGGCTCTCATGGAAATAATGGAACAAATAACTACTGCTGTCGATCAAAAACAGTATTGTGTTAGTATTTTTGTTGATTTAAAAAAAGCATTCGATACTATTGACCACACTATTCCCCTTGAAAAATTAAATAAATATGGTATAAGAGGACAAGCATTACACTGGGTATCTAGCTGTTTGAAAGATAGGAAACAGTTTGTACAAATAAATGGTGTAAGATCTGACCTGTGCAATATCACTTTTGGAGTTCCTCAAGGCTCTGTACTTGGACCAAAGTTATTTATTTTATATGTGAATGACTTAGTGAATGTATCAGGACTCCTCAAATGTGTCCTTTTTGCAGATGACACCACATTTTTCTGTTTGGGTAAAGATGTAAAACGGATGTTGGAATTGATGAAGACAGAATTTGATAAAATACAAACTTGGTTTAAACTTAATAAATTATCATTAAATTTAGATAAAACTAATTACATGATATTTAGTAACAAAAAGAGAACTGTTGATGATCCGTTTAAAATTGAGGGTGTTGAGATTTGTAGAGTTAATGAAATGAAATTTTTGGGTGTAATCATTGATGAACAGCTAACATGGAAAAATCACATCAATTCTGTAAGAACAAAAATATCTAAATCTATTGCAGTACTATACAAAGTCAGGGAATTATTAAATGATAAAGCTCTGTACATGTTGTATAACACAATCATTGTTCCACATTTAATCTATTGCATTGATGTTTGGGGGAAAGCGTGTAAAACATTTACAAAACCTATTTTTATTTGACAGAAAAGAGCTGTAAGAATTATCACCAGAAAGCATTACAGTCACCCATCAAGCACATTATTTTATCAACTGAACTTATTGAAGTTCCATGATTTGGTAGATTATAGTATTTTATCAGTTATGTATAGGGCTCAAAATAACACATTACCATTAAATATCCAAAGAAATTTTGTTAAAAGCCAAAGTTGTTACAATCTTAAGGGGATAGAGATATTTGTCAAACCAAAATTCAGAACTAGTCTGAAGGGAAGGTCTACCTCAATCCAAGGAGTTGGATTGTGGAATGTTCTAGAGAGTGATGTGAAAAATGCCAAGTCAATGTGTACATTTAAGAAAAAGATCAAAACTGAATTGTTAAAAAAGTATATATGAAGTAGCTTAGTGTGTGTTTTGTATTAGAATTAGAAAAATTAGAAAGAGTTATTCATTTTGTTCTGGTACTTGAAGATTATTATGTCTGAAATAATTGTTTTGAAAAAAGGGGCAGATATAATAAGATTTTTTTCTTCTTTCTGCTGCCTTTCATTTTAAATCTTTTGTATCTTTTTTTATATTGTTATGAAATTGTTTTGTACTTTTTTAAAATGAATAAACTATATACCATACCATACCATTTATGATTGTCTACTGTTGTCTTTGTTGTCCACCGTTGCCATCACTCTTTGTTTTTTTTTAACTCTTTGTTAATATCAGGTCTCTCTTGTAAATGAGTCCCCGAGGCTTAATGGGATTAACCTGTATAAATAAAGGTTGAATGAAAAATCTTCTGCAGTGACTGGCGGAGCTCGGAGCCGGGGAGATGATGTCCTGCCCGGCCTGAGGGGGCTCTAAGGCGCCAGTGGAGATGACCGGCGGAGCTCCATCTAGCTCGCTCTAAATTTTGTTGTCGGCTACCAAGCACAAAGAATGGCTGTACATTAGACCACGGTGTTGTCACTGGCATCAAAATGAATGGATGAAACACAATTTTCTCAAATTAAAAACTGACAAAACTGACATACTTGTCATTGGTCCAAACCGTGTTACCAAGTCCACTCAAAATTTCTGTCTCAACTTTGACAACATCACTCTCACTCCATCACCACTCATTCATAATCTTGGTATTCTTCTCGACTCCACTCTTTCATTCAAATCACACATCAAACGGATAACATGGACTGCATTCTTCCATCTCAAAAACATAGCATGACTCCGCCCATCAATCACTTTCTCCACTGCTGAAATCTTAATCCATGCCTTTGTTACATTCAGAATTGACTATTGCAATAGCATTTTGTATGGTACACCAACCAAAACTCTCAACAAACTGCAATATATTCAAAACTCTGCTGATCTCCTTCTCACCCACACCCGCTCCCGTGAACATATCACTCCTGTCCTGCAGAAACTCCATTGGCTCCCTGTCACTCAGTGCATCCATTTCAAGATCCTCCTCATCACATTCAAAGCCTTCCATAATCTGGCCCCTCCATACCTGACCGACCTATTCCATCACCACACTTCTTGTTCCCTCTGCTCCTCCGATGCCAACCTTCTCTCTCTCTCCTGTAGGACCAAGCTCTGAACCTGGGGAGACAGTGCCTTCTCCATCGTTGCCCCCACCCTCTGGAACTCACTGCCTCAACAGCTTTGTGCCTGCTCCGATCTCTTCACTTTTAAGAAAGAACTTAAAACGCAACTGTTTAAATTAGCCCTTTTTAATGTTTTACTGTGTTTTTATGTGTTATGCATTGTTGATTTTATTTTATTTTTTTAACTCATGAAAAGCATCTTTGAGTATTTAGAAAAGCGCTATACAAATAAAATGTATTATTGTTATTATTATTATTATTATTAAATTGTCCCTGAACTCACCTTCAGTGAGAGTGTTCCTCTGACTGCCACAAGAACAGCTGCCATCTTATGATCCAGGGCCACAAAAAATGGGATCTCATAGATCTGTAAAACACACACAGAGTTTGTTTAGATAAACTTCATCAAGGTGACATGGTTGACATAGGCCGCTAAGAAAAGGCCATCAATAAAAAAAACAATAAAAAGAGATTGAACCTGGTTGTGGAAGCAGACATAAATGAAGTCTCTGTACTGCAATCCAGTGGTTTGTAGGATGGATGAGAAATGGCAGCCGAGGTGATCCCCTTCAACAATGTCATGCTCAGCAGCACGAGTCCTGCAGCTAAAAACATGAGGATACATAGCGGGATTCAGGTCCAACTGGAGCCACATCACAAATCCCAACATGGCATGTCTGTCCACCCACACAGCTTCTCACCAGTCTCTGCTGAGCCTGCAGGGTCCGGTGCAAAGGTTGGAAAAAACGTACAGCGGCCAGCCATAAGCTGCTGCAGCAAAGTGCATGTAGTGAGCTGCTTTCTCCAACTCTGCCTGCAGATCGTTCTCCTTTATAAAGCAAAACAGAAGTCATAATCGAGCCGCATCGCCTGCTCTGATCTCTGCTGCACCTCAGTCACTTACAATAGGAGAGGAAGTGCTATGAGAAACAAGAACTTCTGGGTCTCTGCTGCGCTCCATCTTGTCCTGCTCCTGATGCAGCAGAGCCAAACCAGCAGCGATGTCACTGGGAACCAGGTCTGTGTCCTGCAGCATCAGAGAGGGTCTCACAATGTGTTTGGAATTAATAAAACACCAGTTGAGTCCTTTTATATGCCAAAAAAAAAAACACAATTCCAAAAAAACTGAAAAAGGTCCATGTCATGGTTGGACCTGTTTCAACAGTGTGTAAACATCCAGGACCAGAAAACAGCTGAAGGTTTTGGAGGGAATGTTGCCCCATTCTGTTCTGATGGAGGATTCTAGTTGTTTAACAATCCTAGGTTGTCTTGATTTCGTGATGAATCAAATGTTTTCTATTGGTGAAAAGTCTGGACTGCAGGCAGTTCAGCACCAGGACTCTTTGTTTTTTATTCCCCTTGTCCTGTCCGTCATTGTGACACTTAGAATTATTGTCTGTGTCAAAGTGATGCCCAACAGATTTACTTTCACAAGCAGAGCATTATGGCTGGCCTTAATGCTCTGCATGATATATAAATTAAATTTTATTAGAATATGTTTTGGGTTTGTTTCAGATGTAATGGACATGGAGATGAAAAACAAAGAAGATAACAAAGCAGAAAAGTGAGAGAAGAGTTAAAATGTAAAGAAGGAGATAGGAATAGAGGAGAGAGAGAGAGGGATAAAGAGAACACAAATCAACATCATTGAAGTCTGACTCTAGAACTGCGGAAAAAAAAACAAAAAAACGACAAAACCAAGAAACCAAAACAACAAACAACTTATATAATGATAGTTATAACATCATTAGAAAGTATTTTATACAGTACATGGTAATACAATATATATTTGATGGCCACCACAACCCAACTGAGTGTGTATCTGATAAACACCTGAATCTAAACACCTGTGTGAGCATGATGTCACTATAAGATTTCTCCATAAAAATGATCAATAGTGGATGTGGGGACCCACAGACCTGTCCCCACAGGACACGAAGGTAACACAGGGAAGACCGGAACCACAGACACACAGCGGCCCCCAAGCCTGGAACTCCGGTAGTCCCCCAACAGGGACACCCGCACCCCCCCAGAGAGAGAAGCAAAGGGAAGCCCTGGGCGATCCCCAGCAACCACAATGCAGAAACCCCCAGGAGGCCGTAGCGACGAGTCAACAGGCCCCGCCGGCAACCCGCCCCTCCAGAGTGGATCTGGCCATGGACACCAAGCCCCAAGTCCCGAGGTCATACCACCCCCCAACAGAGGCCCGACAGAGCCAGGGCACCCAGGCCCCCGCAGGCAGCCACCAGGGCGGGCCCGCACACACCCCACCACCCAGCCCCAGCTGCTGATAGCCGCCAATGCACCGGCGGCAGGGGGGCCCACCACCGGAGGGGAGCACGACCCACCAAATGGGGGGGCCAAAACTGGTCCAAGAGAGGGGGGCCACCCAAAACCCAACCTGAGACAAACAGGCACACAGAGACAGCCTGACAGAGCCTCTGTTGGGCTGTCCATGCGCCCCACCTGCCCAACAGTGACTGCAAGCCGGCCCCAGGCCGGGGGCCAGAGCAGCAGGGAGCAGCAGCCGAGGAAGGCCGGCCCAGCGCACCAATGCATCCCTAAAGCCCCACACCACAGGCCCGGAGAAGCCCCGGCATGCCACCCATGCACCCCCCACATACACACAGCACCCCGCACCGTGAATGTCACATCAGACCGACCAGCCAGCACTCCGTCGAAGTGAAGCCACGCCCCCGACCGCCGTCACGCACTACCAACGACCACACACACACAACCACAGCTGACCTCCCGCCAGAACCCGGCAGCCACCCCAGCCAAAGGGCTGGCCATCAGAACCAGGAACCCCGATCAAATGATCCAAACAATCCAGGGAAAACCGGAGCACCATCCCCACCTCCAATTGCCCCCAAAGGCCCAATACCTACCCACAGCCCAGACCCTTCTACAGACACCTGGACTCTTATACTATGTAGCAATGTTGTGATGGATACAGGACGTGTTTAACATTGTCTTACTAAAATATGTAAAGTTTTAACCTGAAACATACATTGTCTGAATGAGAGTACTGGCATATGTTGTTGTAAAACCTGTAAAAACTTTTCTGTTTTGAGAATTCCTTTATAGATGTGTAAGCTTCTCATGCCATAGGCACTAATGCACCCCATACCATCAGAGAGGCAGACTTTTGAACTGTGCACAGATAACAGGCTTGATGGTTCCATTCCTCTTTATTATGGAGAATGTAGCATTCCTGGTTTCCAAAAATAATTGTGTGAATTAGGGATGGGCGATATAGACCAAAATTAACATCTCAATTTTTTAAAGATGAATGGCAATATTCATCCATTCAACGTTTATTCATACAGGTTAATCTCACTGAACCACGAGGACGCATTTACAAGACAGACCTGTTTACGATAGGATACAATATACAGGTATATCTTGATATTTTTTTCTTTACATAAATTTATAACAAAAATATATTTCTGGGTCAAAAATGAATTTCTGGGTCCCAGTGGTTCCTAAACACACAGGCAACTTTAATAACAAACGGCTGTAACTGTACAAAAGAAATGTCTCAAAAATAAAGTTTTTTTCCTGCATAAAAAACAAAACGTTGGTTACGTACTGTAACCCCAGATTCTATGAGTATAGGTGCAGCCCTTTAAGGCTATTGGTAGTGGGTTTATCCCATCGTGCGCAGCACATCACTGAAAACTTTAGTCCACACCCACAGGCTATGTGGGCCCCACCCCCAGTCCGTATAGATTACGGTAAGACCGGGCAATCGGCTCCCAAATAGCTGTTTTCTTCAGCCACTTAGGAACCAGTGAGGCCCAGAGCTTAAAGGGTTGCGCCTATACTCGTAGAATCTGGGGTTACAGTACATAACCAACATTCTATTTCGTATAGGCTTAGTTATTTAAGGCTATCGCTAGTGGGTTAAAGGCGAAGCAGGATGTAGTCTATGCCTCACTGGGTCCATTCAGACACAACATGAAGCACCTATTTGCACAAAAAAAACATTTCATCACTCAGCCTTCTGTGTGCGTAATTACGCGCTGCGTAATTGTGTGCTCCATGCGCAGGAGCGCACTGGAGAAAAGATCTTTGGTGAGGAAAAAAGGCTGAGATAGCAGACCTGCTGCTGTGAATAAGAACAATGGAGGATACGAATTGTGACAGTGTAACGATGAACAGAAAAGGCCAACAGCTCCTCAGGATGAACCGATTAATAACAACAAAATCAGCAGTCATGAACTTGTGTAGTGAACTTAACCTGATGTCAAGACTAAGCCTAAGGTCAAAACCCTTGACCTTAAGAACCTTGTGGGACAGGAACTGTCATTTCATTGATTTGAATCCAGAAATACAGGTTCACCCATCCTGAGACTCTCTTTCTTGAAAATCAAGTGAAAGAACACTCTCTTTTTATTATCATTACTATTTTACAAATGTTGATAATCAAAGTGTCTTAGTTCAAACCATTTTAGATGTTGCAGTGAACTAATCAATTTTATTAACTGTGAAACAGTGTAATGATTTTTAATGCTTATGCAGAGTTAGAATTCATGTTAAGGTCTGTTACAGATTTTTATGCATTTTCTGATTTCTGTCTTTGAATGAGCAAGTGTGCATTTTCCAAGGTCAGGAGTCGAAGCAGACATGTGTTGGAACAACTGTCTTGTTTACATCCTCTCAGACGTCAACGGAGTTGGCACCTGTTTCTAAAACTCGCCAAAACAAAACTCTCTCTGTCTCTGAGAACAGTCTAACCTGTTCCATAACAATTCTTGCTTTTTTCTGACTCCTAGTAACCTCTGACGTCACAAAACACACCCCTGTCTGGTTGATATTACCCAATAAGGGACGCTCAAATATACCGGAAATAGAGCTCTTTAAAATGCCGGTACTTCCTAGTTCTCTCAGTTCAGTTCTGCGCGGAGAAGTTCAGTTCGGTGAAGCTTCTGAGCAGTTCGGTTCTGCGCTGAGAAGTTGTTTGGGAGAACAGAAGTCCAGCATGATAAGGCTCCTCCGAGTTGGATTATTGCTATTGCTGATGTGAGCTGGTGTCGGACGGAATCTCGTCACTACTTCGGACGAGTTACAGCCATCCTATGGAGACGCTGGACAGGTAGCGTTAACTGGACCTCCATATCTGCTGATTAATCTTCAGAAAGGTAATGAGTCAAGTTTCCTACCGAAGCGTACCGAGGAAGGCTGGGTTCTGATGGAGAGTGTCGATTCTGGTGAACACTTCCCCTCACATACCATCTTTTACTCCCTTTAAACTTCATTTCCATCTTTAAATTCTTCTCTAAAGTAGAAATCCTTCCAGATATTTTAGAAATGTCTGTGTAAAGTGCTCATCCACCGCCGTGTGGATAATTGATCATAATTGTACAGTTTTCATAAATGTCTGTGGTGAAGCAACGGAAAATCATGGCCGTATGGTTTTCCTGATTGATTGATTATGTTGTTATTTTCATATTTTGCCAAATTAATGTAAATGTTTGATGTTAAACTTTGATTCTGTAAATAAATGACCGCATTCATTTTGATGGGTCAAAGATAAATGACGTCTCACGTTTGCATTTCATTAAATTCAATGCACGTTTTATTCAGTCCAGAAAAATGAGGAATCCGTTTTAATTGATGAATATTTTGCAGCATCTGTTCATCTACACTTGTGTAGATGAACATATGTTGTATATATTCATAAATTAAACGGATTCTTTCATTTTTCTGGACTGTATAATGTACGTGCATTGAATTTAATAAAATGTGGACGGAAACGTGTTTATCTTTGACTCACCAACGACAGTGGGTCATTTATTAACAGAATCAAAGTTTAACACATCACACATTTACATTAATTGGCAAATTGAAAAATAACAACATGGCTAATTTAGCAAGTTTTACAAGGAGTAAACAATACGGCGATTGTTTTCTCACTTCTGGATTAATTTGCTGCAGATAGAAGAATTTTAAAGATGGGAAATGAAGTTTAAGTTGAGAGAGATGGGGAGGGTATTTGTCTGTTATAACCAGAAACAGCACGCT